ATGGGGTGGTGCACCGCTGTTCCGTGCTGGTGTGTCCCCCTCGTTTGGCGCGTGCCAGGCACGGTTGCACAAATGCGTATGCACCCCTGCCTGCGCTTTCACTACACACTGTTGTTGCGCTGCGGTTGACCGCGCCTCTGACTGATGCTTTTCCAGCCTTGCAGAATGGCGCCGCAGCCCCTGTATTTGGCCTGTAACTGCACTTCGGATGTGCAAAGGCAACCCAGCGCCCTGACTGGCACGCGTAGCACTTGTTGTTGCACCAGGACACCCGAGATCGGTCGCAGACAGCCCAACAGGCCAGTATGTGACTTCATCGGTGTCTAGAATTGTTTAGGATCGTCCCGCGAGTCCTGAAAAGATGGACCGCGGGGCAACCCTCCTCTGCGACCGTACAGCAGCCGCGCGCGCCTGCCTGATCGAGCGTAAAGGTGTTTTTAGGATTTCTGAAGCCCGTTGGCTGCTTCACAGAACGCAGCGGCGTGGCTGGTTGGTGACGCCGGCCAGCGCAGCACGATGAGTCGTGTGTGCGCTGCCCGGCAGGACCGCGTGGTGCCGGAAGGCTCCGCCCAGGGACACCCTGTCCATGCGAAGAAGCATCCGGCTCCTCCGGAAGCTCCCACCTAGGAGCTGGGACAGGTTGTCTCAGGCAGCTGCAAGCGTTTGACAACGGAGCTGGGTAGTTTTGAGGTGCCCAAAACAGTGACACCATGTCCAGCTCCTGCCTCCCGGACGCTTGTGGAACCTTCCAGACCCTTTGGCTTGAAGTATAAATAGCACGCGGGCTTGTGCTTCCAAGAGACCATTTCTTAAATCGCCAGGACCAGGAGGTCATTCCTTATTTCTGCAACAGAGCCGAGCCTCGCACCGCAACCGCAATCAGTGTAACGCTTTGGCCCCAATCTTTCCGGACTATTTCTGAGACTCTCAGCATCTCATATCAGCGACAGCGTCAGGCCTCCCTCGTCACCTTCAGGTCCCAAAGGACCGCGCAGGGGCAACAGCGCCCGGCCCGCCAGCAGATCACCAGCCGCCAGCTGTACCGACACAGAGTCAGCGTAAGCGCAGCGCCTCCGATCGATAGAGCCGCCCGGGGTCAGCAGCCCGCATCCGCAACAGACCCGCAGCAGACGAGCGACGCGCTATACATATATACGTACGTGTCTGATCTTTTCTGATACCCATAGCAGACGGTAGATCACAGAACGTGACCTGACAGCAGGGCAAACCGGAACAGGGGGTTGACAGCCGTACCAGCAGTGCCAGCAGCGCCAGCCAGTCGCAAAAGCAGCAGAAGCAGCAGCCGCACCGCTCCGCCGTCAGCCAATGCAGTCGAGTGATACATATATATCTTAGATCGTACGTTCACGTGTGTACCTGGGCCCTCCACACGACCTCGCAGCGTAGCGCAGCGCAGACAGCAGCTGCCGCAGCAGACAGCAAGACAGCAGCAGCAGTCAAGCAGCAGTCAAAGTCAGCAGCAGCCGAAGCGCAGCGCAAGCAACCACCAGCGGTAGCCACTGATAGCCGTCAGCGTCAGCCGAGTACTTCACGCCCAATCTAGTCCACTCAGCAGCGAGCGACTCATCTCACAGCGCTCGCTGCCAACCCCGCCAAATCCCCCCGACATTTCTCCCTCTCCCCACTTGGGGCCCATTCCGCAGGAAGCCGCCGTCGTCAGCTGTGCCCCAGCAGTGGAACGAGTCCAAGCCGACAGACAGAGAGAGAAGACCGTCACGGGCAGCAGCGGGCAGAGGGCAGCAAGCAAGTGAGTGAGATCTATAGGGGTTTTTCCCTTCCCGCAGCTGCCGAGCAGGAGCGTGCGTGAGCACCGTCAGGCAGCAGCGCCGACCGTGGTCAGCAGCTGTAGCAGGCAGACCGCACAGCAGCAAGTGACGCGAGCGCGCGTGTGTGTGTGTGCGTCATCTTTGATCGCACACCTGCGCGAGCGAGCAGCTGCCATTGCGCAACGTTTGGCTAACGGCGACACCGACCCACTTTGTTTTGTGCTTGCATCACAAAAGGGAAGGTGAACCCCGCACGCACACGCACGCTCTGCTGCACATCTATAAGCAGCAGAGGCAGAGCACACACGTGCGTGTCGAAAGGGCGAAAGCGCACGCGCGTTCATCACGCGTCACGCGCCGAGCCCCGGGTCACGCGCCGACGTGGAACACCGCCGCACCTTTGACAAGTGCTCCGTCCTGACACCCGCACAGAGACTGCGCCTGAAAAATGAGGGCACATACAGCGTCCCGGACATCATTCTGCACGTACCGGCGGCAGGCAGAGGCCTGGCAGACAACATCCATATTGTGGAAATCAAGTACTGCAGGGACACCAACCGGCACCCCACAATTGCAGCAGCCACAGCACAGCACGCCGCGCTCCTAGCCGAACTGCAGAAGGCGCGCCGGCAGGTCCACCTCCATGTGATAACACTGGGTGTGGGGGGCGCAATCTACGCAGACATGATGAAGGAGATGGCCGACTTGGGGGTGCCCAAAGAAAAACACAAAGCTCTATTCAAGCACCTCAACCTGCACGCTTTGGAGAGCATGACAGCCGTATGGGGCCGCCGACAGCAGCTGCTGT